CTTAAAAGCCTGGACCTTCATCTGCTTTAAATTTAGATAGTCCTTCAGAAACTTTGTTTTGCTTTAACTTTTAATCCTTTGCGGAGTAACCATGTCCTGGATAAAGAATCTTCATCAACACATAACAGATGATCTGTTAAACCTAACAACTGAACTGGACAACACAGCTTAAGACCAGGGGAACAGGATGGTTGGAAATACTCTGACAGACATGTCTCACATTTTGTACCAATAAAATACAGAATAAAATAGAGAAACTGTAAGAAATGCTTGAATGTGATTATTCTGAATAGGTGCGGGGCAACAGCAGGAGTTAGTATTTGGTGAAATAATGAATTATTGACACTCTGTACAAAAATATTCTTTGTACTCTACTGTACCTTCCAGGTCATCGTCCTTGATTACTATGTCATATTTTCCTTCAATTTTAATCACTGTTTTTTGGAGAGGAGGTTGAAAACAACAGTTAGGAACTGTTGACTTGCTGCTTTCCTGTGATTTGCGTTACCTTCATCGGTACCTTGCAGGCGCTCACTCTCTGCCGGATCAAGGGCGGTCACTTTGTCAGACTTGCGTGAGGGTCTGCTGATGCCTGCACTGTTTACTGCTCTCACTCTGAAGTAGTAGGAGTGGCCCATCCTAAGGTTATCCACCGGGTACTTGCAAACCTTCACTGGTGCCGTGTTGCACTGGACCCAGGTGTCGGTACCAGCTTCGCAGCTACACAACAGAACAGGAGAGCTTATGTTAGCTTCGTTCCATCACAACAAATTAAGAATATTGCACAATTTTGTTAGGTTTTAGAATAGAACCATGTTTTTAAATGTGGTTGCTTTATAACTGAATGTTTTTCAGAAATTATGTTAAAACGTAGTACAGAAAAGCTGCCGTTAGTTCACTTAGTGTCTTGGACTGAGCAGTCGCCTAACTGTACTCATGTTGGAGAGCCAAAGTCTATTTTAAGAGAGCCTGAAGTGTTTCAGGGTGCTGTCTGACCGATCCACAAAGTATCCAGTGATCGGTGCCTCGTTGACGGTGTTGGGAGGTTTCCAGGCAACCAAGATGTAATCCGAGTTGACATCATATGCCTTGACGCTCATTGGTGCACCAGGGGCTCCATTTACAGACGCCGGGGCATCTAGGAAGCAAAGAAAAATAGAGATCAGCAGGAGGTTGAAAAGTTGGATTGAAGAAACAGAAATATTAGCTTGATAATATATTAGACATCAGGTTGTATAACACGGACAAAGCTAGAAGTTATCCAATCTCAAGTCTTGGTGCAGCATCATGTCTCACCTGACACAAACAGGTAGGCACTGTGCTCGGTGGTGCCTTCCTTTGTGAAGATGCGTATGGTGTAGAGTCCCTCATCGTCTTTGGCCAGATGAGGCAAGGTCAGAGATGCTGCACCTCCACCCACCGACATCTCCACCAGATTACTTGGTTTCAACAGCTTGTCTTTCAGAAAACAAGATGGAGTAAGCAGAAACTGATTAACCAGAACCCACCAAATAACTGAATTTAAAGGGATGGATGGATGGATGGATGGATGGATGGATGGATGGATGGATGGATGGATGGATGGATGGATGGATGGATGGATGGATGGATGGATGG